CCGTGGGAACAGAGTCCCCAGAGTCGACCTCACTCTCACCCTCCCACTCCATGCACCAGTACGCTGTGCATGCCGGTCGACTATCTGATGATGAAATTGGGCCCAAATGACTGACACGGCCTGCTGCCGGGCCTAAGCGTGCCACTACCATCCCCGTCCACGTGTGTGGCATTTGCGCGGATTCCACTCAGCTCGGTTATTGCGTGTCGTTCTTAGAGCCCACTAAATGCCATTAGGTTGTCCTTTAAGGGATTTTATACAATATTCATTTTTTTCCTTTTGTTTAAGGGCCAACAGGAGAGCCGCATCCGTTATCTCAACAATGAAGTTGTGGACACCACAGGCAAACGTTACATTGAGATCAAGCAGGACTATCCCAATATGCCTAAGCCGGTTTATCTGAAGGCAGCACGAAAGTATCGATTTCATTGATGGACATATCAGTTATCGTCATTTTATCTCACTGTTCCATTTTTACTCCACTCTGGGCCTTTGTAAACGAAGCATTTGCGTTTTTATGCATATTCCACTTCTTTGAAGCTCACGGTTTTTTGCACGACCACTCCACCACATCACTTTGCTCTTCTTGTTTTGAGTCACACCCGAGACTACAGACTCCCCATCACTGTCTTCCATGCCAGGCTCATTGGGTTAAGAATGCCTTTTGTTGCCAAGTTCTTGACACGTGAACCACTTTTTCAGGTCAGCAAAAGTAAGAGATCCGGGTTGATGGTCTGAGGAAAAGGAAGTGCTCACCGGATCGAGGGACTTGTTTGGCTGACGTTTCGAAGAGCTGGGGCGGCTCTCCATTATCAAAGCGTCTAGTCAAGCACCAAGTCAACAGACGACGGCCACAAGAAGAACAACCCGAAGTCTGGAGGGCTATTCCTTACATTAAAGGAATCTCCGAGTCGGTTTCACGATTGTTACAACCCGCCAGGGTAGACATTGCCCATCGACCCCAGGCAACAATTCGTCGCCGTTTGATGCAACCCAAAGACATACTGCCACCCATTTAAACCTCATCACTTGTCTTTCAAATACGTTGTAACGATGGAGACTGCAACTACGTTGAGGAAACCGGACGGAAATTGCAGACCCGCCTACATGAGCTCAAACTGGCAACTCGGCGACTAGACCCAAACTCACAGCTTGCGACTCACATCGGAGAAACTGGTCACAGTTTTGATTTTCAAGGGGCACCTCAAGGACAGAGCGTCTCACACTTGAGGCTTGGTACTCAGATGCCAACTCCATCAACAGGCATCTAGTTCTTCCTTCGGCCTATAAAGTCCTACGTCACTGCATACGCCGTGACGAAGACAAGACAGTCATACGGAGCCTAAGACTACCGAGCAAACACGGCCTGTCGACCAATTCACCCAAAAGGGGAACGCAAACGCAACTAATCCCAATTGAGTTGACGACACAATACAGGAGGCCACCAACACACACAGGTGACGGCCAGAAGCCAAGGCAGCGAAAGAAAAAATCGATCATCTCAACGCCAACTAATCCGGCTATCGATTCAAAATTCTGATCGATTTTTTCACTAGACGCTTTGATAATAGAGAACCGCCCCAGCTCTTCGAAACCTCAGCCAAGCAAGTCCCTCGATCCGGTGAGCACTTAATTTTCCTCAGAACCACTTTTTGTCACCGAAACACCATAACTAGGGCGGTCTCAAAGTAGCCCTAGGCAAACTGACTTACAAGCTCAAGATTGGGATTAACAGACTGCCTAACGCTCATTCGTGTGCCTCCTATCCACAGCGAGGTTGTTCGAAACTCGCAGGCCACATGGCCTTCAATGTTAGACCGACGCGTTTAAAACCACGATCGACCCTGCTGAAGTTTGCGGCATGAACTTCCATATTAACAACATGAGGCCATCTTCCGGCCATCACAGAAAACTCCAGAATACGCCCGCGTGGCGGACGCTGGTATAATTCTAATTCATCCATAACCAGTTCTCGTAGAAGTCGAGGTGTCCAGAATTTTTACACAGCCTTAGTCCCAAAAAAACGTCAGCTTTTGAATAACTCACCTGGGTGGAAACAACCTCGTGTTTATTGAGAACAGTAGTGTCCGAATTACTCGCTAAGCCAATCTGTGTGCTGTTCAGACCTCCGGACGGTATGCCCACTTGGTTCAACATCAGAGAGAAGAAAACAGCACCAAAAGGCGCGGCAATTAAAGGATAGCTCATTTTCTGCGACTGTCTCCGATGATGGGTTCGGATGCGAGTCCGAAACGTCGGACACACTTTGTTCCAGCGGTCGCATCTCTTTCTTCCGATATCCTAGCCTACTGGCGGCTGGGGGTGGTTCGCGTCTAGGAGTGACGACGGTGGAAGATGTACTGAGAGATCTGTGTGGCGGTCTTAAATCAAAAAGCCTCTGGTTCACGAAGGCTCGTGATGTGTAAGCAGTAAGTGCACCCAAGGGCGCCACAGTTACCCATTTCACTCCAGAGTCGGCCTTATGGCCACATCCAGGCAAACTATCGGCTGCGCCTTGACGGTGAGTTTGCCCTCAGAACGCCGCAATCATCAGGTCAGGCCCTAAGTGGCAGGATAAGAGGGCACCGGGGGACGTGATCTTACACGGAAAGCTCCGGCTGACGTCTGTATTGACCGTTTCTTTGTGTCCGGGCAGTCTGTGTGTTGCATCAGCCGGAGAGTGACTTTCGGGCGGGGCATGGATGCACACGTCTCCTGGACATCACGGAGCTCTGAACGTGCTTGGTCTGCATTAGCTCTTAGGATTATTGTACCTACGGAAAGACTGCCAGGGTGGCCGTCCAAGGCAGGCCGTATCCCGTATTTTAACTCCCATATTATCGTATGACCGATCAACCGGAGATTTCTCGGTGTGCATGACAGGCTTCAAGCTTCCTCAGCAGTCCAAGCCATAACCGCTGGCGGGTCATGATTGACTGAAATGCGCCGGGCTTATTGTGTCAAGAGATCTGATGATTTGCACTGGCAAATAATATCCCTGCATCTACACCCCTCATCTCATCCCCAGTAAGGGCGACCTAGTCTGTTATTAGACGCAGCGGTTGGCGTAGCAAACCACCTCCTGGTCTGTTGATGTGCCTGGGCGATTTGTTGCAAATTGTTCAGTCGCAGCATTACTGACAGAGGTAAGGGGGACTGGAATAGCAATTTCTGGCTTTTTAGCCTTCGTTAACCAGTTATATCCAACCCCGAAATGTGAAACACCTGGGACTCGATCCCAAAAACCTGTTGGTTAGAAGTCCAACGGTCCTAACTACTGAGCGGCGGGCTTGCTGTACTGTCGATTGCGATTTGGAATATACAATGGTAGAGGGACACTCAGCTATGGTTTTTACGGAACTCACTCATTCCGTTGCGCCTTATGACTCCATCTCAAGCCCCGCCAACAGCCGCATGGTGGCGAATGATATTGGCAATATAGAAAGCGACACTACTCGTACTTGCGAATTATAGTTTTCGGTCTCTAACCTTGCTCTTGGAATGTTCCTGTTACATGGGGCTTTGATACGAAAGATGGCTAAGAACTCAAGTCCATATGTCGGCTGGATTAATGGGGGTTCGTGATTCGGCCGTGTCGCCATTTAATCAGACTTTTTCAGTGGCAGCTTCATCCACGCCTACAAATGCTAACTTTATGCGGGTCCCTTGGACTACATACTGATGGAAACTGCCGACGTTGGGAAATACTTATCGGACATCTCGCCACAGCCATGTGTTCCCGCCTGGTTACACACAGCACTGATCCAGGTAAAGACAACCTCCAATGAGTCTTCAGTCGGAAACAATTGATTTGAACTGAATTAAATTATCCAAAGCACCTTTTAAGACCAAAACAGGCCTCACCGCAAGGAACACAACTCTAGTGGGACAATCCGGCCAACTGAGAGTGGAGAGTCCGCCCGTCTTCGCGGTGATCCAAGTTCCCACGATTTTTCCGCGAGACCACGCGATGCGGTGGGAGAAGCATCTTGCCCGGCTTCTGAGTGAAGTAGATTGGACACTCTCAGTTGTCGTTCACTTCGGAAACGCCCGACTATATCTGTGATTGCAACCGGTCATCTACCATGGAGTCCCCTGAAGCTATAGTAGAACTGAGGAAGAAAATACACTCAGCAACAACTCAATCCTTACAAACGCAGCTTACCACTGTTAACCGATGGGTTACATAGACTTCCGGCCCAAATCTGGAGAAAAACCACGCCTGCAAACCAGGATCGCGTTATACTTATGCTGATACTCACAAAGTGTGAAGAAGTGTCTTCCTAGGGATTATTGCGGCATAAGCCAAAAAGTCCTTCGCAATTGTTTTTCTTGATTTTATTCCGACTGCACCGTGATGCGCGGATAGGGAATAAACAGCGCTCTTGTGGTCAATGTGAGGATTTCTTGGTCAGCATTCTCTGCCTCGTCGAACCCTCTAAAATGTACTGCTGCTTCTTGGATTTTAACCCTGTCCGTTCAGATACTCTCGATCATGCTGTTGGATAGTAAATCACCGAAGTCGCGTCGACTAGCTCAGGCCAATTACTACGAAACGAGGATCACAGTTTGCACGATTAGTGAGCAGAGCGACCTGTTTCACGTCCCCTCCTGCGTCCGCCAGAACCGTGTGATCTTTGATCTTGGCGTGTCAGCCGCCTTAGCGATATCCCAGAGTCTGCCTCCGAGACCACAATGGAAGGTGATGGACTCAGAACGTGGAACCGGCTGAATGAGTCAGGATGAGTGCTCTCATAGGCGTAGATTTAGTCGCTGAGACCGCTTTCACGACTGAGAAGGCTTTTTGGTCTTGCGAGAATAGTCGAATCAATTGGGTCCATGCTCCTTTGTGTTTATACCCAAGCGGACAATAAGACTAAGTCGCCAGAGTATATTTAAAAACCCCAAGATTGTTGAGTGAAAATAATTAGTGATATAACGGTCTCATGTGGCAAATGAGCGAAAAAATTACAGGGAAGTAGGAAGAGACGAAGATAAGACTAATCAGTTTTCTCGTCGACAAGACGATCAGTGGAAAAGAGTGTCATTTTGCACGGGTCGATCCACGAGTAGCCCCTACAACTCGCATCACTGCAGCATGCACAACTCTTGAATGGCTGCAACGAAGAAACAGAAACAGTCAGGTGCGTAGTGTACAAAACGAAATTTCACATAAAGGAAATGTGTTGTTCGCAAGGCAGACATTTGCGTCCATGCATTCATACTTCCACATGTGAGTTTAAAGACCGTAAGTCCACAACGTTATCGACGACTGACTCATGTCTTTTGCATACTTGAATTACCTGCAATCTAGAACCGTCCTTGTCTCGGCTAATTCGTGTGAAACAGGCAGATATGTAGGCAGGCAATCGTGCCAACACTAAACATGCAAAGTTATGTGCCTTCCAGCGAGGCTGAAAAATTGGCCTTCTGTCCGGTATAGCCCAGATTCGAACATCGTTGACTTGATATATCGCTGGACCTGATTTTTCGAAAATACGACAGAATGGTCGCAACTTACATAATCTGCCTTTCGCGTTCCCCGACCTCCCTTTTGTTTAAGACAGGACGCCAGGTGCGTTTTACTATTGTTCTCACAGCATCGAAAATTACGGTCAACATAAGGTGTATTTGTCAAGGGTATCTGTTGGATGTAAAACTAACCTGCGATGAGGATGAAACCTGTTCCCGAATTCTGTTAATGAGACTGTCATCTTGCCATCCAGAAATACTGAAACAAACGAGATGTACACCATTTTAATGTTAGAGGTTAAGTCAAGTGGCTGGAACCTCATGATTCAAGTAGAGGTGAACTGCCGATGTGCCGAGTCAAGAATAGAAAGACACTAAGGCGAACACAAACAACATACGCTGAGTCTTACTCAATTGGATTAGAACTCGTATCTGGACCAGATGTCGACCAGAGGGAATAATTTGCAACGTAACGTTTGGCACGTTTTTCGAAGTCGTCAGGGTTGGTTACGAAACTACAACCAAATCGAAATTATCCAGATCAGTATGAGGAACGAACATGATATGTTTGTGGTCACAAAGGGAATTAACCTACACATAAGCTGCTTCGGGATTTGCGTAATTGCACCAGGTTGACTGTTCAGTGTTCGCATTCGAGTCCTTACATTGAGTAGGGTTGTCGACGGATGGTTCGCTCAGAGTCAAACGCAGATAGTGAAGCAAATGATAGATTCGAGAAACACCTGGGTTCCATTTAGAGAATTCTACCGAGGCATCTAGCTCGCCTGTTTTGGGGTTTACGTGAGGATGGTAAAAGCCCTGGGGAAGGTAGATCTTCTAAACGACAAAAGAATATTAAATAACCACACTGTCAGTAAAAATATACAAAAAATCCAAAACGCGAGGAGTAGTATGCGTTATACATGGAAGCTTGGAAAGTTTTGTGACTGAATAATTTGGATTTGAAGCATGGAAATTACTGAAATGCATTCCTCTTTCTGACTGGAGTCCTGTTCTGTGTGCAACAGAGTACCGAGTACGTGAAGGAAAGAGTATTCATTTCTCCCATCTAGTCAATACAATTTGATAATGTTCTGCATGGAACACGGTCATTTGTGCATGTAGAAAGCGGTGGAAACAAATCCATAATCAGCCCTGGTATGTGTCTTAGCTTTGGCAGATTAATTGTTTATATGACCCCATCGGCCGGTGATGAAACTGTTTCATAGGAGACGCGGATATTTGTTGGCGAAAATGAATGCTAGTAATTATGCCAGCTTTTCGAAGCACAAACTAATCGGGTTGCAAGGGTGGCCCTTTCACAGCAAGATTCTTAAATAAATCTGAGAAACCTCTTCGGCTTGACTCGAAAATATTCGCTAGGAGCCTTTATTTGTCATTAACATGTTAAAGACGAATAAGTAGTAAAGAAACCGAGAACTTGGAAAACTTAGGTAAAAATATGTTAACAACTGTAAACCGAGCATCTGTGGCGTGAGGAAAAGTTATGGAAACGTATTTTTCGCCGCGGTTATAGAGAAGACCCGTTAACGGAACTCCGTAAAGGGCAAAAGCAAGTCAGATAAAGTCATTACCGGGGGTGTTTCGGAGGGAAAATCTCCTGGGATGTGAAGTTCGAAAGAGAAGATGCCCCCTGCGTAGAATCCCTTGCGGACGGAAACTATGCCATACCAACCTGCAAATCACGCTCTATTTATTAACATACGGTTGTCCAGATTAAACATTGGCATAACGTACACGCCCGGCGGGTGATAAGTCATTATCAAGTTGCTGAGAGGACATGATTTAAACCAAAGACCTACTATTCGGACATTAGGCTGTATTCATGCAAGCATTCTCGTGGTAAGTTCGGGGAAGCTTCTATCCGAGGCATTGAGGAGAAAAGTCAAGAATCTTAAAGACCGTTCTGAGTAGACAGCTCATCCAAACAAGACGGATAAGGGACCGCATCCATTTTCGTATACGAAGGATAAGACCATTCTACTATTAATTAACATTGTTGTAGAACCCTTTCGAACTGATAAACGTTTAACACTGAACTTTTTAAACATTTTACTCGAAGTTTATAAGCTGACCGAAAGTTTTTCCTCATTGCCGTATTCCACAGTCCTGCAAGTCTAAATTCCATTTCTTTACGCTATAGGTAAGTACACACCTACCTTAACCGGACGCTATTTGTTGAAACGAACTGTAATTGCATCGGCAATCGCATCACAACTGGGCATTTTGTTCTTTCATTGGAACATCCTGTTCACCATGCTAGTAATTATGAAAAGTCAGGCAATTCCCTCATAATGAATGACATGTTTTTCGTAATATAATCGTGCAAACTAGGCGAGCAATCCATTCAGTAGTTACAGGAACTCCTGACGATGGGAAATTCCTTTTGAGCATCTTGCCACAGCCACCCTTAAATCTGTCTTAGGACGGTCGTTCGAGTGGATTTCCACTTGCCAGCAGCCCGACTTGAGATCGGGGGTTAAGCACCAAGCAGCCTGATCTAGCGCACCTATTGTATCGTCTTACCTCGGCAAAGGGAACGAACCTCGCACTGTTGCTGCGTTTAGGCGTCGAGATTCGACACACAGGCGTTGGGAACCTTCTTTCTTGGGGACTAACGCAATGGGCTAAGCCCATGCGGAGGAGGACGTTTGGATAATCTTGGCGCGTATCACCTCGTCTTGAAGTTTATCGACCTCATCACGGTTACGAACGGGGACACACCGAATATTTCTGACGTATCCCGTGTCAATGGTATGTTGCACATATCGTGTACGACCGACGGTATCCGTGGACCAGGAGAACAAGTCGGAAGGTGAGGCGAGAAGGTCGCTTAGTTGCTAATGGGCGACGGGGCCGACTGTTGAAGGGAAGGGTAGAACGTTGTTCAAGTGGATAGACTCTAGGGCGGCAGCAGAAAGGACGGTATTATATGTGATGTAGAGATCATCTGATGGGTCTGGTGTTGCAGAATGGGAAATGGGGAAGCCTATATCTAGGCGCTTGTGCCGAATATAAATATTGCAGTCATCGTTTGTGAGGAAGCCGAGCCCGAGCACAATGGACCAAGGGCTAACTGGGGTTGCTACATAATGATATGTCAGAGGGAATTGTGGACGACGAACTGTAGGGTGATACTACCAGAAAAAGAGATACTAATCCCGTTAGCGACCCCTAAATTGCAAGGTGTCGGCAACGATTCTAGTTGCCTAAGAAAATCTTGTGGTAAATTACGAACGTTGATAAGGGAGACGATGGTACCGGTGTCGACTAGTACTGGTAACATCTGGTTGTTGAGTAAAATATTAATCGTAAATTTTGGGGTGCAGGATGTATCAGAAAGAGAAACAAAGTCATGAGGAACCGACTTACGGGGAGGATTGGCGTCGGGCCGAATGCCGCGCAGTATCCACAGCCGTAGTTATGGCGGGGAAACAGCACGGGTAGGGGTGCCTTCCGGTTGGGCACCAGAAGGGAGTAGCTGTGGTGGGCACTTCGGTCGGTCGAAGCCCTTTGTGGTAAGCGGTACACAGTCGGCGTTGCTGTATCGCGGCGGCTAAACTGGTAGGCGTGTGGAGAAGGAGGATGTCGATAGCGTTTGAGTCCCTGAGTCCAGTTGTAAAACGATGCAGGATGAAGGTGTCGCAGTCCGAGGTTGAGGAATGCTAATAGGGCAAGGTGGGATATCTCGTTCTTGAAATCGTCAAGCGATTGATCCCGCACCTGTCTTAAAGAAGCAAACCGTTCGGTGGCCATTCCTGTGGAGGACGGCGTGTCAAACAGCCGTAGAACGGTCCTACGATCCATGTCGAACGGCGACGTGTGGTGGATTCCGGAGGCGAAATCGCGTTTATGCGCGGGAATGGAAAGGATTTGTATGAAATAGCAGGTGCGTTGGTTGGTGGAGACGGTAACTAGAAATGCATCCAAATCGCGAAGCCAATCACTTATATTGCGATTTTGGACGTACGGTTCGGGAGCTAGTTAGGGGCTGGGGTCCAGGGTGTACGCTTAATCGATCGTAGGGTTAGGAAGGGGGAGATTGTGTAACCGGGACATTGGAGAGAGAAGCGGGTGGGGTACACGCTGCCACCATTGTAATGACCGAACGAGGGACGGATGTCGGGTCTCGGGTTGTGAAGGTAGGGGATGATAGTAACTTAAACTCAGATGGTCCAGCCGATTGGAAGATCCGGTGTAATAGACCTTGCATCTCGGAGTAGACGGGATAGGGGTGAGCGGGGATAAGGGACATGAGATAAGCGGCACAGGTGATAAAAAGATATAAGTTTATTCGAGTATACAAAAACGGAAATCTAACAAACAAGGTTGCGAAAAAACAAAAAATACAATGGAATGACTTATCGAGAGGAATAGGAGGTTAGTTGTTGGCACGTGGCTTCGGAGGCGTAGTTTCTGCAAGGTAAACATAAGAAAAATTCCTCTGGCGTGACAGTTCATTAAAACGCTCAAGGCGGGGCCCCTGGTCAGATCTCGGGATGTTACACATACCAGTCGACCCCCGATTATCGCGTTCAGATCGAAGAAGGTCTCTGGTTGATCGGCCTCAGTCGGGGTAGCAAGGTTTCCAGGGACGTACTCGAATGAGCGTGAGCTGGTCACCTAATCGATAGGATGGCGTGCTCACCTTCGTACGCTCACGCTTGTACACCATTTTCTGCCTTCTAACGTCACTACACGCAAGCATTGTTGCGACAGTTGTTCTTCAGTGTTACTATTCTGTCCGGTCCCAACCTCATGAAAAGAATTGGCGACTGATAATATCCGATGCCGCTTTATCCCTCCTTTTCTTGACTGTCGTCATTTTATGGGCAGCAGTTTTTTCTCCCCAACACTCCAAGCTATGAAAAACCACAATCATCTTTATTTTGTTATCAGGATTTTTTCACTGATGGCCGGATTTGCGTTCCACCTTTCCCCGGCAATGCATGGGAACTGGCAACAAATGCAGTTATTATTATTATTATTATTTTTATTTTCCCCTTTACTAACCTGTGTAATTGAGTATTTTACGTTTCACCTTCAAATATTTCCAGGTCGATATTCGAGAGAATTCATCGTAGGCGTATTTGGCGAAAGGTAAGAAACATGTTATGCGAAAAACTGAGAATATGAGGGCAAATAACCAGTTCGATTCATTATCCATTTCATCAAGCGGTTTGTTCGCCAACAGTTGATCAACAGATATTGGCACATCCTTTTCTGACGACGAATCGACTCTCATCGCTATAAAATGGCATATTACCACGAACGGCGGGCTTAAAGAAAATCCTACAGCCCTCTCAACCTAAGAGGACTCAAATGTGCGTAAAGAACTGAGGATCTGAGCTGTACGCTCGCACATAACCCACAAGCGCCTGACAAGTCTGCTGAAGACTTCAAGAGGAATGACGCTGCTTAAAGCAATTCTGATTAGAATATAGGCTGAATCACAGCAAACGTTAAAAATCTTCTATACGGAATCTACTACGAGGCACTCACTTCTTATATGAGTCGGCGTTGAATATTCTAATCTCGCTTTTCAGATGAGCGACCTCCTCCCTCTATTTCTGAATAAACTCTCTCCCTCTTTTCACCCTGCTTTCAAACCCATGAGGCTAAACAAGATGCTCCGTAGCAGTAGGAATTTAGGCAGCAAAAGATGTGGTCGGTCAGTAAATTAAAAAAAACAACATTGGACAGGAGATATAGCAAAATGGATCAACGCAGCGTACAAACGGGTGTCTCGTAAAAAGGCCAATGGTGTTTAGTTGTAAAGACACAAGTACTTTTACGGCTCTGCCGAGGGACCGGACGGTCCAGGGAGTGGAGTGCTGCTCTTTTTATCTCTCTCGTTTAAAATTAAGTGGGATGGTAATCAAATATCCAGTTAATTTAAAGGGTCATCAATTTGGTTTATGTTGAAGAAATGCAAAATTCAGTATGACTGGGTATGTGGAAACTAGAAGCCCTCAACAAGATGCGCTCTGGACGCCTTTTGTCGCCCATTGGGGGCGATCGTACTCCCCCTACCCCATCCGGAATGCAACACGACACGTCTTATCCAATTGGCGGCGAACAAATTTATAATCAAAATTCCATTGAACGAACTCATTCATTTCAGCATACTGCAAATGAATAAAATAATGCCTGTCATGCTTATGGCCAGGTCTTGCGCAGTGGAGACGAAGAGGACCATATTGCACTGCCAGCGAAAATGAAATGTCCACGTGATAGTTTTTAGCTCATCAAAGAGAGTGTTGAGCAACTGATCGAAAAAGACGTTGAGAGTATCGGCGAGAAATCAGGCCAAAAAGAAATAGGGCGGAAAAAATTGCAGGCAAAAGAAAGTTTGTCGTTTGTCGCCCTAACTGCCAGGTGTACCCATGGGTGCAGGAAAACATAACCCGTAATAAACTGTATTGACTAGATGGGGGAAATGAATGCTCTTTCCTTCACGTACTCGGTACTCTGTTGCACACAGAACAGGACTCCAGTCAGAAAGAGGAATGCATTTCAATAATTTCCATGCTTCAAATCCAAATTATTCAGTCACAAAACTTTCCAAGCTTCCATGTATAACGCATACTACTCCTCGCGTTTTGGATTTTTTGTATATTTTTACTGACAGTGTGGTTATTTAATATTCTTTTGTCGTTTAGAAGATCTACCTTCCCCAGGGCTTTTACCATCCTCACGTAAACCCCAAAACAGGCGAGCTAGATGCCTCGGTAGAATTCTCTAAATGGAACCCAGGTGTTTCTCGAATCTATCATTTGCTTCACTATCTGCGTTTGACTCTGAGCGAACCATCCGTCGACAACCCTACTCAATGTAAGGACTCGAATGCGAACACTGAACAGTCAACCTGGTGCAATTACGCAAATCCCGAAGCAGCTTATGTGTAGGTTAATTCCCTTTGTGACCACAAACATATCATGTTCGTTCCTCATACTGATCTGGATAATTTCGATTTGGTTGTAGTTTCGTAACCAACCCTGACGACTTCGAAAAACGTGCCAAACGTTACGTTGCAAATTATTCCCTCTGGTCGACATCTGGTCCAGATACGAGTTCTAATCCAATTGAGTAAGACTCAGCGTATGTTGTTTGTGTTCGCCTTAGTGTCTTTCTATTCTTGACTCGGCACATCGGCAGTTCACCTCTACTTGAATCATGAGGTTCCAGCCACTTGACTTAACCTCTAACATTAAAATGGTGTACATCTCGTTTGTTTCAGTATTTCTGGATGGCAAAATGACAGTCTCATTAACAGAATTCGGGAACAGGTTTCATCCTCATCGCAGGTTAGTTTTACATCCAACAGATACCCTTGACAAATACACCTTATGTTGACCGTAATTTTCGATGCTGTGAGAACAATAGTAAAGCGCACCTGGCGTCCTGTCTTAAACAAAAGGGAGGTCGGGGAACGCGAAAGGCAGATTATGTAAGTTGCGACCATTCTGTCGTATTTTCGAAAAATCAGGTCCAGCGATATATCAAGTCAACGATGTTCGAATCTGGGCTATACCAGACAGAAGGCCAATTTTTCAGCCTCGCTGGAAGGCACATAACTTTGCATGTTTATTGTTGGCACGATTGCCTGGCTACATATCTGCCTTTTTCACACGAATTAGCCGAGACAAGGACGGTTCTAGATTGCAGGTGATTCAAGTATGCAAAAGACATGAGTCAGTCGTCGATAACGTTGTGGACTTACGGTCTTTAAACTCACATGTGAAAGTATGAATGCATGGACGCAAATGTCTGCCTTGCGAACAACACATTTCCTTTATGGGAAATTTCGTTTTGTACACTATGCACCTGACTGTTTCTGTTTCTTCGTTGCAGCCTTTCAAGAGTTGTGCTTGCTGCAGTGATGCGAGTTGTAGGGGCTACTCGTGGATCGACCCGTGCAAAATGACACTCTTTTCCACTGATCGTCTTGTCGACGAGAAAACTGATTAGTCTTATCTTCGTCTCTTTCTACTTCCCTGTAATTTTTTCGCTCATTTGCCACATGAGACCGTTATATCACTAATTATTTTCACTCAACAGTCTTGGGGTTTTTAAATATACTCTGGCGACTTAATCTTATTGTCCGCTTGGATATAAACAACTGAGCCCAACTGAGCACGACGGAATTATTCTGCGCTCCAACTGGGACAATTTCGACTTGTTTACCATTCCACAGTTACAGTCTCTGACATTGATCCTGGAACCGTACGTACGGAATTACTTTGTGCATTTTTGGAATATTTTTTCACGCATCGAAATTCGCCAGGAATCTGGATTAAGTGCAGTTTGTTTATCAGCACGGTTGAGCTGACAACGCAACGGGCTACGCAACCGATTCGCGGATATACATCCTAGAAAACCAGTCGCTCATAATCCTTCAAGGTCTGCAGTTATTCAAGTCCCACGAGATCTGGAAAGGGCTAAGTCGCTTCTGATTCTATTCAACAAAGTTTATCGGATTTGAAGAATTTTTTCGCTTATTGAGTTTTGAATACTCACTTTAATTCATCATATATAAACCGACGTATTCGTTATATCACCGAAAGCGAAATTATACATATTATATCACGTCGAAGTTTATGGATTCTCAGCAAGCTAACTGTAGTAGTACGGTCAGCGACGGCACCTCTTTGGAAGATAAGTCCGGTGAGTTGTCCTTCGCATCCAGAACCTGTGCTCGCTCTACCTTCGCCTCCAGCCAACGACCAGCAAAGCGTGCAAAAGCGTAAATACCGCAAAAAGTGTGAGGTACGAAGACGAGCCTTGTGCTGGGTGCGCAGATATTCAAATCAAAGTAGAACAACTGGAAAAGGAGCTTGCCAATTTAAGGACGCTCGTGAAACAGACCCTAGTCAGTCAGAACGTGTCCAGTGTTAAAATCCTAAAAACGAGGTGCAAAACGCAAAAAACGCGAAAAAATGTCTCCTCGGGGGAATCTTCAAACACGACTAGCAACTCAACAGCCAAAATCGCAGACGCCGGTAACAGCAGGACAACGAAAACGAAGCCTCCGATAAAGGGAGACTCGATTCCCACGCACGATTTCTTAAGCGATGTCGTAAAAAAATTACCTGTCGCGGAAGCCATCTCACCTAAGCCTCTTGCTGTAAGTGATGGGATTTCTGTTCTGCCTGGAGACGATATACATGGGTCATCCAGTCTACTGTTGCCCTCTTGTTCTGACAACCACCCCTAGCGCACTACAGAGCACGTATCTGAATGTGAAGACATAAACCCGTGGGTAGAGGTGAGAGTGAAACGCCATGACAGGATTCTGAATTCACAGCCAGCCCTGATGGGTTGCTCGGGACAGTCGGTAGACAGTAAAAGTGTGCGTTCCAGCGATGACTCCGTAAATCGTCCTCGCCCACATGCAGCGCATTCACCGGAAAGACAGAGTAAGGAGGACCATGCTCGCCAGCAGTGTCTGGTTATTCAGGGTTTGTCAGAATCGAATGCAGTCAGACCTGAAGACCGTGTCTCAGAGGACCTTGCTTCTTTTCGTTGTCTGCTAAATCATTTACTGCCGGCAGACATGGAAATAAAGGTTCTGAAAGCATTCCGGATAGGAAAAAGGAGTGAAGACAGGACAGTAGCACAACCACCTCGCCCTCTCAAAATTATGCTGGAGAACAAAGAGCAAATCAAGTTTATCCTCTCTAAAAAAACCGATCTCAGAAACACACACAAGCAGGTTTTTTTTCAACCGGACTATTCATCAGCGGAACGGTTGAAACGCCGGGAACTTGTCTTGGAGTTAAAATCAAGACTGAAGGATGGCGAACACAATCTGGCTATCTTCAAGGGGAAGGTAGTTCGGAAATATATGCCGTTTCAGTGGAACCAGCATGTAATACTACGTACGACGACAGCTACTCAGTTAAAACAGACACCTTCGTTGAACCACCTGATCAAGGCGCCAACACAAGTGAGTCCGTAGCGTCCAGTGATCTGACTGAAACAAGGCATGTAAATGGAACCAATCAGATAACAGAAGAGCCTAGAGAACACGACGTCCCCGATAACGGAGTAATGCTCACAGCAGTAACAAATGCAACGGGAAATTCGGCTGATGCTAAACTGAGGTGCTTGTACACGAATGCCCAAAGCCTCATATCGAAACTAGACGAACTAAAACTTTGCGTTGTTGAGCTGTCTCCAGATGTTTTAGCAGTAACTGAGACCTGGCTGCCCGGGAATATTAGCGATAACGAAGTAGCCTTGCCTGGATACCAAATTTATCGGAGGGACAGAGAACATCGTCAGGGTGGTGGTATCGTTGTGTATGTGAATGACGGTCTGGCAGTGTCGGATAACACCACCAAGTTTGCGTGCAGTACGGAAGCTATCTGGTTGACCTTCAAGGCTACCGGTTCCCCGTGTCTCGATGTCCTCACTGTCTACCGACCACCTAGGACAGACCGAATCGCCGACACTCAACTATTGGAGCAGTTGGAGAAATTTTCCAGTCGACCTAACATCATGATTATGGGCGACTTCAACGCACTAGGAACAAACTGGAATACCCTCCAAGCGTCAGGTCCAAAATCGGCATTCGATTACCGCCTGTTGAGCAAAACATTAAATGCGTGCCTCACACAACATGTAATGTTCCCAACGAGAACACGTGAAGGACAAATGGCAAATTGCCTGGATCTGGTCATTACGAAAACACCAGACAGCATAGACGAGATCGTCTCCATGCCGCCCCTTGGCCGAAGTGACCACGTAGTGCTTATTTGGGATTATTCGTTATTCTCCATTTCACATACTCCAGACCACAAAAGACGGAATGTTTGGCGGGGCGACTTCAATCAGATGAGGGCAGACTTATCCGGTCTTGACTGGGGCTCTTTGTTTACGGGAAGTGCCAACGATGACTGGGAACTGTTCAAGAATGTCCTTCTGCAGCTCATCAACAACCACTGCCCACTGACTAGTGTAAGACTGAACAAACGCCCTGGGTGGCTAAATAGCAACCTCAAGAAAGAAATCAACAGGAAGCACAAATTGTGGAGAAAATACTGCGTCACTAGACAAGCTGAATGCTTCAACACCTACAAGACACAGAGGAACAAACTGAGGAAGCTGATAATGCAGACGCGGCGGGAATTCGAGAAGAACTTGCTACAAAAAGCAACGCAGAACCCAAAATTGCTCTACAGCTACCTCCGACGAAGTACAAGGAACAGGCATCAAATCCCTTTGATAAAGACTACTGATGGCGATGAGTTCGCTGATAGTAGGGATAAAGCTGCGTTTTTTTCACGGTTTTTCCAATCAGTCTACACAAACGAGGCAAGGTTCCTTCCTCCCTCCACAGAAGAACCGCCGACTCCAAGCGTCAGTGATATACTCTTCACAGAAGGCATTGTCCGAAGAGAATTAGAGGCATTGAACGAATCGAGTCGCCAGGACCAGACGAGATTCCATCCAAGCTTCTGAAGGAACTTGCTAGTGAGCTCTCTGTGCCTTTGTCGATGCTCTTTCAAACGTCATTTGACACTGGAACACTTCCTGTCGATTGCAAACTGGCGCATATTACTTCGGTACACAGAGGAGGAAACAGGGCAGCGACGACAAATTACCGGTCCATAAGCTTGACATGCATTCTCTGCAAAGTTATGGAAAGGATCATAAAGAGTGAGCTGATGCAATTCCTGGAAGTTCACGGCCTGCTATCGAAAGGCCAACATGGGTTCCGAGCTGGAAGATCCTGCACGACAAACCTGCTGCAATCTCTCCAGAGCTGGACCCGAGCTCTCGACGACAGGCACGCAGTCCACATAGCCTTCATCGACTTCCAGAAGGCTTTCGACACTGTGCCACACCAAAGACTCTTACATAAGCTGAAAAAAATAGGGATCGGTGGCAACTTCCTTAAATGCATCGAAAAAATCCTTGTGGGTCGACACCAGGTTGTGTGCGTCGGTCGGGGAAAATCAGATCCGGCTATGGTCGATAGTGGTGTCCCCCAGGTTTCAGTTCTGGGACCCATTTTGTTCCTTATCTACGTGGACGATGCCGCAAGAGATTTAGACTGTAAAGTAGCAATGTTTGTGGATGACATGAAGATATGGAGTGTAATTCGGGGTCCAGCCGATGAAGACAGACCGCAGATGAACCTGAATCGGTTGGAGGAGTGGTCAAACCGTTGGCTCCTGCGGTTCAACGTTGCCAAAGGTAGCATACTTCGCCTAGGCAACACAGCCAGATCCGCCAGCACAAGAGGCTACTTTCTGGGCGGTGCAGCCCTACAAGAGGTCGCAGCCCAAAGGGACCTCGGTGTGCTTACAACGTGTTCCCTAAAACCATCCGCCCACTGTTCGAGGGTGGCAAAAAGCGGAATGTCTTTACTGTACTCCATCAAGCGTGCGTTTATGGACTTTGACGAAGAAGCTTTCCCTAAGACATTCGGAACATTCGTCCGGCCGCATTTAGAGTGCGGCATACAAGCTTGGAGGCCGTGGGCTGTTGTGGATCAAAACTGCCTCGAAAGAGTCCAGAGGAGAGCCACGGAGATGGTCAGGGGTCAAAGCTCCTTTCCTTATGAGACCCGCCTAGTAAATCTGAGCCTCTTTCCTTTGAGTTACAGGCAACTTCGCGGAGATCTCTTGCAAGCCTTCCGCATTGTAAAGGGGTTGGATTGCAGTCTGGCCTTCGAGGACTTTTTTGAATTTGCTACAACGACCAACCTCCGAGGTCACCCGTTAAAACTGCGCACTCAGCAGGCACGGCTGGGTGTGCGGAAGTTCTCCTTCTCGGTTCGGGTGGTCAAACCATGGAATGAGCTTCCCGCAGATGTTGTGATGTCACCACCTATACAAAGTTTTAAGAAGAATCTGGACATATTTATGTTCCGAAATGACCAAGAGCGATGAGAAGTCGAGCTCACCCCCTGTAACTCCTTCTCATTTTGTCCCACCATTATGGGTGTGTTCGAACTATTTCAGTCCAGAACATCTATCTGTACACCACACATTTTTTACGTTGCAAATCGGGTACTCAAAGGCTTACGCCTATTTCCCTCAATAAACTGAACTGAACTGAACTGAATTGAAAAACAAAACAGCATGGACCCAATTGATTCGACTATTCTCACAAGACCAAAAAGCCTCCTCTGTCGTAAAAGCGGTCTCAGCGACTAAATCTACGCCTATGAGAGCACTCATCCTGACTCATTCAGCCGGTTCCACGTTCTGAGTCCATCACCTTCTATTGTGGTCTCGGAGGCAGACTCTGGGATATCGCTCAGCCGGCTGACACGCCAAGATCAAAGATCACACGGTTCTGGCGGACGCAGGAGGGGACGTGAAATAGGTCGCTCTGCTCACTAATCGTACAATCTGTGATCATCGTTTCGTAGTAATTGGCCTGAGCTAGTCGACGCGACTTCGGTGATTTACTATCCAACAGCATGATCGAGAGTATCTGAACGAACAGGGTTAAAATCCAAGAAGCAGCAGTACATTTTAGAAGGTTCGACGAGGCAGAGAATGCTAACCAAGAAATCCCCACATTGACGGCAAACAGCGCTGTTTATTCCCTATCTGCGTATCACGGTGCAGTCGGAAGAAAATCAATAAAAGCAATTGCGAAGGACTTTTTAGCAGTAACAGGGAGGTTTATGCCGCAATTATTCCTAGGAAGGCACTTGTCCACACTTTGTGAGTTCCGGCATAAGTATAACGCCACCCTGGTTTGCAGGCGTAGTTTTTGTTCTCCAGATTTGGGCCGGGAGTCTATGTAACCCATCGGTTAACAGTGGTAAGCTGCGTTTGTAAGGAGTGAGTCGTTGCTGAGTGTATTTTCTTCTTCAGTTTTACTATGACTTCAGGGAACTCCTTGGTAGAAGACCGGTTGCAATCACAGTTATAGTCAGGCGTTTCCGAAGTGAACGACAACTGAGAGGGTTCAATCTACTTCACTCAGAAGCCGGGCAAGATGCTTCTCCCACCGCATCGCGTCGTCTCACAGGAAAATCGTGCGAATTTGGATCATCGCGAAGGCGGACGGACTCTCTACTCTCAGTTGGCCGGATTGTTCCACTAGAGTTGCGTTCCTTGCGGTGAGGCTTGTTTTGGTCTTGAAAGGGGCTTTGAATAGTTTAATTCAGTTCAAACCAATTGTTTCCGACTGAAGACTCATTGGAGGTTGTTTTTACCTGGATCGGTGCTGTGGAAGTGCTGTGTGTAACCAGGCGGAAACACATGGCTGTGGAAGAATGTCCGATAAGTATTCCCCAACGTCAGCACCTTCCGTCAGTATGTATTCCGAGCCATAGCCGACCTCTTACATGAACATGCTTGGAATCACCTTATTGTGGGCACTGAGCTTCGCGGCTAGGCGCTCCAGAAGTTGTCCAGTCATTTTCTCCCATGTGTCCAGTTGTGATTTTGGCGACGAATATCCACTCTGAGCTGGCATTTCATAGCTGTGCTTGTTTCCACGTTACGCCGATTTACCCTAAATTTAAAACTGGTGAATTATATACCCACTCCCACAAGTTGCAAGCTGAAGGTCGGCTAGGATTTAAATCTCTCCTTGCTGGTAATAGGAATCGAAGTAGACCCGTCCTGTGACTTTTTGTCAAAATAATTGTATTCCAGGAATATCGACAGTTTGCCCACTAAGAAAGCTTCTAGCGCATTGGGCGTATTCTTTCGTGGTTTCTCATCGTGCAAAAGGAATTATCTTTGCTGGTTAAATTATCCACATCCACTTTTGATCCACTGACTACTCTGACGCTTACTGGAGATCGCCGCATTTCCCTTTGATGCCCCAACAATGAGGCTCCGACTGCAGCCTTGCGGGAGACCACAAGGTAAGCTACCACCAGGTAAGTTATATACCATCGTGTTCATTTGGCCTGTTTACTCCTCCAACTGTAGCAATCAACTGACCCAAATCTGGAAGACCTTTAGTCTCCAGATGATAATGCCACTGTGGAGACACGGTGGTGTCAACTGCAGAACGTCATCTTGTTTAGCATCCAGAACGTGCTCTAACGCGCACTTCGTCAACACCTGGACTGGCTTGAGAACAACGAGGCGAATATCAACAATTTAATGACCGCTAAGGACAGACTGCACGAAGCCTACATCGATAGTCGGGTCAAGGGCAACAAAGGTGCCTACTCCAAGTGTCGTCGCCTTGTGCTGAAATGGCTGCGGCAGATGCAGTTCCCCGGATGAATAGCAAGACCCAGGAAATCTAAGGATGTCCGGATCACATCGAAACTATCAACTCCTTCATCAAGACGGTTCACGGTCCCAGCATCAAAAGAACCGCGCTGCTGCTCAGCTCCGGCGGATGAATTAAAGATTCTGAAATACTGGGCCGAGCAATGCAGGACCGTTCCAGACCCCACCCTCCCCCCCATCCACAGTCTCCGACGCGGCCAATGACCGGCTTCTCCAAGTGGAAGCGAACAAGGACTTGGATCTCTTGCATTCTATTTGAGAAATCATCCGAGTCGTGCATTAACTCTCCAGCCGGGACGTGCCGGAATCTGATGCGATCCCGGCCAAAATCTGCAAGCACGACGGACCCTGGCCGATGGGCAAACCTTCAACGATATTCCAGGAGATGTGGCGCCAAGAACCACTTCCTCAGAATTTCTGTGGCCGGAAGTGCAACTCGCAAGTCTCAGGACTTTCCAATCCAGCGTCTCACTATGCAACCCCTTCCAGCATGCCCGCGTTGCCAACAAACATATGAGTGCTGACCGGCTCCGTCGGACATCTCCGGACCCAGTGCAACGACAATCCACTAACCCCACCTGCTGCCCCCATCGTCATCGCTGCGCCTACTCCTACGGCGTCCACTCCAACGGTCATCCCCATCACCTGTGACCACATTTCTGATGTCTCAACATTATCAATCACCACCACCACCACCACCACCACCACCACCACCACCACCACCACCACCACCACCACCACCACCACCACCATCACCACCACTTCGGCGATGAATCCCGAAATCGACGAGCCCATTGGTGTTCCCTTCATCTGCTCGTAGATTGTTCTGTCAAACGTGAAGTACGTCCCGAAACAGGACTTTAGGAGCTTAAGAGCTTGGGCATATCCGAGACGATTCTCCGCTTCATTGTATTTGCTTCGTAGGAATAGCTCAAAGGTTTCGATTTCCAGATGATATTTCAGCAATTAACCACTTGCATGCCGGCCCTCAAGGAATTAGCGTATCAGCAGGCCACAACTCTCGATGATGATGAACGCGGTTAATTACTATAGGTATGCAGTTGCACAGCGACTGCATCCCATAAATACTGCAACTTCCTGTGCACGAATCACCCATTTCTACCACTGTCTCTGATAATGGATTCAATTGAGAATCCGAAACGTCGGGCGAATAAAGTCCTTGTTCTAACGATCGCTTCCTCTTCTTCTTCTCATTCCGAAATGCGTTTTTGTTTTGAAAGGGATAATTATGTAGGGTTGTGAAAATAATCGTCACGCGGCATAATTCCGCAATAATTCAGTCACCTCAGGATGCCGGATTTCATGGAAAGCATGCATAAAAATACTCATTCTCCTGCTGATTCCGTACAAAATGGCGTCTCCTTCCAAATTTATACTCGAAGAATAGGCATAATTCGGTTTTGAAAAAGTTTCTATTTACGAGATTTTTTAATACCGGAAGACTGCCGTTCATAAAACGTCGTGTCTCCGCATTTACCGATGTGGCTTGTAAGGTTAGCAATATGACTCAAATTTACTGCTAAATTTCACGAACCCTATATGGTCTCCTCTTAATACTGTAGAGAAATGTACGGTTTTCCGCTCGCGCAAAGTATACGGCTTGTAGGTTGGAAACCATGAATGCAAGTGTAACGGCAGGTTGGGTTCAAAATTATTCGCGAATCAGAAAAGTTGTTGAAAACCGAGCTATACCCATTCTTCGAGTATAAAATTGGAAGGAGACGCCATTTTCATCGTCGACTACACCGACGTCGACGATGATTTGCCCGATGTCGCCGGCGAAGAATATGATAAAAGGACTGTGCGGTGCCGAGTCCCACTTTTCTCCTCCCCCCGGTATGATAGACGGAAAACGTTCTAAGAGATATCCTCGGGCATTCGTATGCGCTACAGTTACCGGTAACGACGGAAGTCCCTCATACCGAAATCGATCAGCGGATGACGTCGGCAACTTGGCAACCGTACGAATGCGAACCGGTGACGGACAAGTCGGGAACCGCTGGGTTGTTTCGTATTCGCCTTTGCTTTTAAAGGCAAACGAAGTTCACATAAACGTGAAAAACTGCAATTTCGGGAAATGAATTCGGTACATTTGTAAGTACGTGAACAACGGCAGCGACATGGCTGATTTTGGCCTGCAACACGAAAGGAGGGAGAGGGATGTGGACATACAACTCGATGAAATCGCATAGTATTGGTCTGGAAAATGCGTCAACAGCCGCAAAGCCATGTGGCAGATTCTTTCTTTTCCCATTCATGAGCAAGTCCAGGATTTGTTCACTTGCAGTACACTTAGTGAATGGGCAATGCGCTTACTTTACCGATGCAAACGTGCAACAGGCCACCGGCAGCACACATTAACTGCGTTCTTCTCGTTAAGCCAAACTGACGCGTTTACGAAAACATTGCCGTATTCGGATGTGCCTACGTATTACATGCGTGCAGAAAATTTTGTACGACGCAAACGAGGAAACCGAGTCGACGGACACCTTGGCATATTCAAAAGAACTGCGATGGGCAGACTGCACAGCGTGCATCCCAATCAGGACGAATGTTTCTTACTCTGCATTGTGTTGGTGAATATGTCAGATTAAATGTCTTTCCAGTAATTGAAATCGGTCAACGGCGTTACGCACGCCACTATCCGTAGTGCATGCCAGGCTCTCAATTTATTGGAAAACTACCGATACTGGGATGTATTCATTAGTGTTGCGTGCAACACTGCCCATCCACACCGGATTCGTTCATTGCTTGAAATCATACTGGCCGCCTGCTCTACTTCATCTCCAACAGATTAATGAGAGAAATATACAGCGCACATGTCTGAGAATATCTTCCGCCGACTACGCAAGGAAAATTCCAAATGCGGATTTCACAGCAGGAATCTACATCGAGGCGTTAATAGTGACTGGGGATATGTGCGTAAGAAAACCGGGAATTTCCTCATCAAACCGATCTTCTGCTGTTTCGTTAGGTGTGGATGTGAGCCGTGCGCACAAAGCGCTCGAGGCCCTCGATCGAACACTACAAGATTTACGCGGAAACAGCAGACCGCTAGGAGACATTAGTGCTACTGCTTGCAGGAGACTTCAGGCAAACACTGCCTGTAATTCCTCCATCGGTAACAGCAGACGAAATAAATGCCGGCCTGAAATACTTTTCTTTGTGGCGCTAAATCCAGACGGCAAAGTTAACTAAAAATATGCGTGTCCAGCTGCAAAACCACCGATCAGCTGTGGTATTCTCACAACAATTGGGAATGCAACGGTGCTTGCTGATCCGACTAAAAGAAGGATTTCCGTACGTCTTAGCCTCGGCAATTTAGAGTCCTCAAAAGAGGAGTTGGTTGAAAAGTTTTCTCCCACTATTCAGACCACTTTCAACAATCGCGACTGATTGAACGAACGAGCTATTCTTGCGGCCAATAACAAACATGTGTACCATCTTAACCATATTATCGACTCTAAGATTCAAAACGAGGCTGTCACATATACGTCCGTCGACAGTGTTGTGGAAGCAGACGAGGCAGGTTTATTATCCAACGGAGATTTTGAATTCGCCTGAGCCACAGCAACGCGTGCCCTGACCCAGCTATAAACAATATGACAAGGAGCATCTTTTCGTGCGTAGATTACCCACTCAGAAGCATTCTCGCAGGCGAATGGACAGCAAGGTTTCGGGAGAATTTTCAAAATACTGACTGCCACAGCATAGAAAACACACTAAGCCCTCAATGGCAGGGACAATGCAGAGGGTCGATGAGACAATGACCTCAAATAACTGAGCCCTGATATGTTGTAAACGACCTAGGATGTCGACGGATGTGAGTAGCAATACGGCATACTTGCCTAACCCAGCAGAGTAAACAAAAAGGTTACGGCGAAGATGTAAGTAGAAATCAGGAAGCATCTGTACACGGGCAAGTTTCTGTGCATTTAGGAGAGCCAGTAGGCTTCGTAGACGTCGGCCGATGCAAGGCCGCAACGATCGGTCTATTGGCTTTGTGGTTGGGCGTCCATGGTCCCCGACTATCGTTGGCGTAGTAGTCAGTAGGGTACGGACTCTCATCGGTCCACTCGGCAGAACCAGCCAAACCCAGGGCAACGGAGGCCTCGTAGGGGGTCAGGAGGGGCTTCGAGAACTGGGAGCCCCAATCGATGCTCAGGCGAGGACAAGCGACCTGCAGACGCAAATGCAAAATTTGACATAGATGAAAACGAGCTTCGCTAGCAAGGGGAATTTAAACGGGGCAAATCGAGGTGCTAACCTGGATCCATACATCTACGTCGGCGCCAAACAAGTCGAGCTTAGCGGGAGTTATCTCAGATAAGAGGACAATAAAGAACTTCCGTCGAAGGTCTTCCAACCGTTTTTGTAACATCTGTACAACCGGCGGAGATCCCTGACGTCCAAGCGTGCCTTTAGACAGATAAAACAAAACCGGATTACACAAAAGATACGAGAAGAATCCCCCGTCTGGTAGACCGCAATTGTTCCGACGTTTGCGATACCGCCTGAAATCATACAAATGCGATGCAATGGACACTTGAATCAACCAAACCTCCTTAGGATCGGCCGGTCCGGACGAGAGGGCAAAGTCGCTAATGACGTAGAAAGCCCAGATGAACAAACGATCTCATTCTATTTCCAAGATCACGGTATACTTTCTGTCTCGGACTAATGCACTTCTGGAAACCTTGTGTTTAAAATACGACGATGGGGGTCATGATAATAACACCATGAGGCCTGCTGAAAGGACGCTATATATAGTTTACAACTTATAAATAATTCCCAGTGTTGCATACGAGTATAACGATTCAAGTTGCTAAGTACTACAATGTATAAGATGGGAGTTCACGTCTAGTCAACAGATGCAGTCAGATAACCAGAGAAGACACAATATCTTACTGCACAGAAGTAGGAGAAAGGAAACAACTCACCTAGAATTATACCAAATCGCTGGGCAGATGAGGCGGCTTCTATTGCCCGTCGACGTGTTGCTCGCATTCTTTCATGGTCGTAAATCTCGTGAGTAAGGGTTTTGTTATAGGGATCGTATAAGTAAGCCGGTATGTTTGGATTGGCCAGCATGAGCGATTCCAGATGGAAGCGGCCGTCGCCGATAAATAACAGGAAGTCAACGTCCGAAACCTGAAAGAAAGGTGAAAACACTGTGGGTGAATTGTGCTAATAGTAATGAAGGAACAGTTTAAAAAACAAGGGCTGTTTTACAGATGACTGCCTTTGTGAGATGATGCTAAGGACCATGGTATAGATAGGCGGGTTTTTCAGAACCAGTGAACATTCTTCGATTCCGACGAAAGACGCTAACTGTTTGGCCAACTGGAACTCATGTTTTATTGCTTAACCGCAATACTTTAATGACTTCGTTTTCACGCTTTTGAAGAAAGTAAATTTATAGTTTCAACTACGAATTGCAACAATAATGGAATCCAAAATCTGTTGTATCCGAAACGGATGTTATCATCGCAACCTGGTGATTACTGAGGCCGACTGATTCATTCGCAACTATTGGCACAATCTCTTGGTATTATGGCTCAATATCTCCGATAATCCGGCTGCAGAGCTGGTCGCGTTCGTCCCATGCACAACGCGGTCTCCTTACGCATGAAGGCCATGAGCTTTAACGCTATCAGGCAGAGTAATCGGTTCTTCAGATAGCTAGTACCTTCGGCGCTCGATCTGTCCTCAAAGCCGGCTGAGAGGGACTTTGAACATTGTCAGTCGGTTTCGATCGAAGATGCCTTGGAGTGCAAGGATACGCAAACTACATATTTCCGACTGGACATAATTTGAGCGGTAGCCCCAGCCTCGCAATAACATGGCCAGGGTCATCCTCGCTGCTGGTGTTCGTACTCGGCATTGGGCGGGTCTAATGGTGGCTTTGGTCAATGTACTCGGACAAGCATGAACTCGCTTTGACCTTGGATATGGTAGCCGTTGAAGCATCAGGCGAGTGAATGCCACCTCCGGTGCCGAAAGCAGACGTCCTCTATAAGCGGTTCACTTCGGTGAAACTGACAAGCCCTTTGCAATTCAAACGACGGTCTGCATTGATTTATCTCCTTCGTACAGTACAGTTCTAATTACCCCGAAAGGCAAGACTTCACTCAATGGAATGTCTGACAACCGTACGACGTCCATTTTAAATGTCAACAGTCTCCGCAGGGACAGTTGTCACATTATGTTATTACCAACAAAGACAAGGGAGACTGGAATGGCCATTTCTGACTTATTAGCCGTCGTCAGCCAGTCATACTCAACCCCGAAGTGTGGAACAACCGAGGCTCGAACTCGCGACCTGTTAGTTAGAAGCCCACGCCTTTAACCACTGGGCCACGAGCCCGTTGCCCTGTCGGTTTCGATCACTGAAAATAACACCACGAACAAGCACAGGTGGAGCTCATGATGGCATCGATTCATGGCGCATAAGTGAAGCCTCGCCGCGCTTAGTCGGGGCGGTTGCGGCGTCATGCCGACCGAGTCTATAGACGGAAGCGCAAGGGTAGAAAAGGACTAATTGTTTGCCACTTGGCGCCTGAGGGGGGAGGCAGGCGGCGGCCACAATATATTGTACCAGTGTTTCCATTGGTCTATTGCGCTATTGTTCGATCTTCCGATTTAGTTTCAAAGGTAATCCTGAAAGGACGACAATAATGAGTCAAGCGAGAGGAGCATTCACTGCTTTTGCCGGTGTCCTGGATTAGCGCTGAATGGCAATGAGAAAGGCCAGAAATCTACCGCACCTATCAATAACACCTCTTGACTAAAACAATAAAGCCAGTTAGGAACTCTGCCGCCCCTGCCGATTTGCTGGCTCATATGACTAATCCATATATCACGCTGACTGAAGGGCGATCTTTTCCGCAATGCTATTTTGTCCAAGCATGGTTCTAGCTGGCGACGACGGCAAGATGGCCAAGACACGGCAGAGGAACGGAAGCGGACTTATAGCGCAACGCTAGATCCGATATCTACGGTTGTGTCAAGTGGTCGAACTTCCTTGTGTCTGCTGTCCACTGACTGTGAAAGACAATAGTACACACGGCGACTAATCTGAAATATACACCCAACTTGACAACTCAATCTGAATATCAGTGGCAGTATGGTTAAGGTCCACTTGCCTTTTGCCATCCTCGAGATGTAATTCGTAAGTAGCTCACTTTCTAACTTGCGCCTGCAGTGACACTATTGCGTACAGAGCAGTCAACAGTCAGTGTGCCCGTCCACATGAAGCACAACATGAGTTCCGCCAGGTGATCGGCAGAGACGCTTCTCAAAATTAAATGTTGATGCCTTTTCCCCGAAAATCAAACCTCCCCCAATCGGCGAGAACTGGTGGATTTGCAGCTGACGTGAAGGAGTTGGAGCCTTAAGAACGAAAGCTGAGGACACAACCCCAACCATAATCCAGACAATGTGTCTGCGGCCTAGCGTGGCTAACAATGAATTATCGCAGGTGCCTGTTCCCAACAAGTCAAACAGTTAGAGCATATTGGTAGTAGAGGAGAAAGATAAGTGGAAAAAACTTGGAAACAAGGAATGGACGCCTACCCGTGGGGAAGTGCATCCAAGAATCTCTCCGGGCGATAGAGGAAGGACTTGGGGAATGATTGGATGGAAGCCGCTATCTTCGAGGGCCTTCTTTAGCGACGGCAAACTCGTCACAAACTGTATCGTCGAAGTCAGAGCAAGTCGCGAACCCTCAGGATAATTGGATTTTATTGTGTCGACGAAGTGAGGCATGTCAAATTGTATGTCCACGAAAACGTAACTTAAAAATAACGGAAAAGCTGTCAAATGTTATAGGCAAAAAAATTCTCGATCTAAATAGTAGATCAGGACAAAATAAAGCGAATGGATGCGGTGGTTTAGCACTGCAACCGGGATTTAGTCGCTTTACCGGCAGGAGAACAAAGTATTGGCTCCCAGATATCTTTTGATCCATTATCGTGGGAATAACACCTTTTTCGGGGAGTATGTTGTTAGACTGAATTCTAATTCGTGAAAATGCATTCACCTGTGAAGTTTCATGTGTTCAAACTACTTGATTTCCGAGAGGGGTGCAAGGATGACCAGTTGTTGGTCCACGTGATAGTGGTACTAGATCATTCACTTGCTTGCCTGTGTTAACTGCGCCTAGCATCCATTAACTGGCACCCAACTCTCATCTGTCGCTTCTCGAAGCTAGGTTCTGCCTGACGCCTACACCCCGGCAGCCGCCTCGAACGACGGGCTAAACTAGGTGAGGGTATCCGGTGACGTGCGGGTCCCCACACACGGTAATTCTGCTCCCCTTCCCCTCCTTTCACTCTACTCTTTTCCCTCGCGGTCAAAAGGTCCTACGGCAAACGCAACCCGCAATAGTGTAGACGGCCCAAGTCAATCGGATCGTCCTCTCACTAAACCAATCCGTGGCCCATAGTGGAGTTCAGCAGCCGTCTGGGACGACTAAGCAGCTCTATTTAGGGGCAGCAATGCATGCCTCCTCGCGGAGGCAAAGACCAGAAAAGGTGCAGTAAATAAATGCTGGGGAACCGCACCATCAGCTAGTATATCGTGACTCAGACGTAAATCCCACGGTCGAAACAATCAGGCAAGAAGCAGCAGTCTCACTCTTCTCCCTCCCCCTGACCTCCGCCCCACCCACAGGCTTTCAGTGTGAGTCCGCCCACCCTGGCAGCCCGGAATTTCAAGTCCATTTTAGACAACCCCAAAAGCAACCGACCGGAACGGACGACGACGACGCTAGTCACTTGAGGACTGATGCGTTACATGATGGACATTGCTGCACTCAGCGAGACCCACTTCTCCAAACAAGGCCGACTGGAGGAAGTGGGTGCCAGTTACACTTTCTTCTGGAGCGGCTGCCCCAGGTCAGGGCGACGAGGAAGCGGGCGTCGCCCTTGACTTCCGAAACGACATCATGGGACGACTGCCCTGTCTGTTGCTTTGAAGATCCCAATTCGCCGCTACTATCAGCGCCTACGTCCCACCACACGACCGGATCTGACGAGGCCAAGACAAAGTTCTACGAAGACCTGCACGACCTCCTGACGTCTGTACGAGGGCGGACAAGCTGCTTGTCCTTTGATTGCAACGCTTGCGTCGGGACAGACTGTGCTGCCCGGACGGTAGTCCTGGGTCCTCACGGGATCGCCCGCTGTAACTACAATGGCCTCCTCCTCCCAAGAACCTACACTGGACAGCACCTCCTGCTGACTAATACCTTCTTCCGCCTGCCTATACGGAAGAAGGCCATCTGGATGCACCCCAATCGCAGCGCTGGCAGTTACTGGACAATATTATCGTCCGTCAGCGCGATCGAGTAGGCGTGTTGGTGACGAAGACGATCTGCGACACCGATGGCTGGACGGACCACTGCCTCGTCATCTCCAACATGAGGCGCCGTCTGCTGGAGGACACTAGGTAAGTGATCACCAGGTAAATTGAATACCGCTTTGTTGTTTTTGCCTGCTCACCGCATGCATTTCGGCGGCTTGATGACCTGCTGCCTCTGGACGAAAACACACCCGTGACTCGACGGTGCATACTGCGGAACGCCGTCCATTCGACGGCCATGAGTGTCCTCGGCCGCGCACGTCGTCAGCACCGCAACTGGTTCGACAACGAAGCAGCCATCAACCTACTCGCCGAGAACAGGCTGCGCAGAGCCTACCTGGACGGTCCAACCGATGTGAACAAAGCAGCCTTCTAACAATGTCGTCGCCTTGCGCAGTTGCGATTGCGAGAAATACAGGACTCCTGGGATCCAGGGATATGTCAATCGCAACGAATGGAAGGACTTCTTCGCTGCGGTCAAGGCGATCTACGGTCGCCCAACAGGAGGAATCGTGCGGCTCGCCAGCTACGATGGATCAACCCCCCTGACGGGAGTTTGCAGATTCTGAAGCACTGGGCTGAGCACTTCAGATGCATCCTCAACCGTCCCTCCACAATCTCCGACGCCGTCATCGACCGGTTCCCACAAGCGGAAATCAACGTCGACCTGGATCTACAGTGATCCTCCCAGAAAACATCCGCACCGAATAACAATTGTCCGGTAGGAACGCACCAGACCCCGATGCGACCACAGCTTAAATCTACAACTACGGCGGTCAGAGACTGATAGATCATTTTGCAGTTCTGTTTCGGGAGATGTGGCGCTGTGGACAAGTTCCTCAGCATTTCAAGGACACAACCATCGTTCACCTCTATAAGCTGAAGGAGAATCGGCAACTTTATGAGAATCACAAAGGCATCTCGCTACCAAACATCTCACGGAAGATCTTCGTCCGCATCCTACATAACCGTTTCAACGTCCGCCAAGAGCAAAGGCTTCTGTCGGAAAGTCAATGTGGATTCCAACAACACCGGGGCACAACCGACATGGTACTTGCCACCCACCAGCTACAGGAGGTGCCAGCAGATGCGAACCCACCCCTACACTACCTTCGTGGACTTTACGAAGGCCTTTGATACGGTGAATCGCAAGGGACTGTGGAAAATGATGCAGAAATTCGGCTTTCCTCAACTATTCATGCACATGGTAAGTCAGCTTCACGACGGAGTGATGGTGCGCGTCACGGACAACGGTGCAATCTCCGAGGCATTCGCAGTGGCCAATGGAGCGAAGTATGGCTGCGTACTCACGCGCAACCTCTTCAGCCTCATGTCCTCTGCCATGCTGATGGACGCCCGCCGTGATGGGCGCCCAGGGATACGCATCACCTACAGAACTGACGGGTATCTCCTCAACAGCTGGCGCACGCAGGCCCCTACGCGACTATCTACGGCCACCGTCCACGATCTGCTCTTCGCCGACGACAACGTCCTCAGCATTACGACCAAAGAAGACATGCAAAGGAGCATGGACCTCCTCGCCGCCGGGGGCGTAGACTTTGGCCTGACTATCAGCACGGACAAAACGGTGGTCATGCACCAACCGTTACCCAACACGCGAAACAGCACTACTCCTCGAATCACTGTCTACGGTAACCAACTCAAAATTGTGAACAACTAGGCTTAATTAGGAAGCACACTTTCCTGCAGCACAAAATTGACGACGAAGTGGCCCAACGGATCTCCAAAGCCAGCCAAGTCTTCAGCCGGCCGTGTAAAATCGCCACGGCCTTCAAACGAACATCGAACCGAAGATGTACAGGGCCGTCGTCCTGATGATACTTCTGTAAGGGGCGGAGACTTAGTGTCTACTCCAGCCATAGCAGGAGGCTCAACCTCTTCCATCTCAGCTGCTTTCGCAGAATTGTAAGGCTGAGACGGCAGGAAAGGATCCTCGACACGAAGGTTCTAGAACGAACCGGAATACTCAGCATTTACGCCATGTCGAGACAAGTGCAACTACGTTGGAGCGGCCGTTTCGTGAGGATGAAAGATACATGTCTACCAAAACAACTCTTCTACGGTGACTTCGCCACTGATACTCGTCGACAAGGAGGACAAAAGTGACGCTAAAAGGACACCGAAGAACTCTCTGAAACGACTGCAGATCAACCCCGAGACCTGGGAGGACCTCGCCCAGAAGAAACCAGCATCAAAAGGAGGAGTGAAGACTAGCGCAACTTTCTACGAAGCAAATCGGATCGCCGCGGCCAAAACCAAAAGATAGCTCGCAAGTCACAGGTGTCTTGACTCCTCAATGCCGACAGTCAGCCGCTTCCAACATGCCCGCACCGCCGACGCACATTCTGAGCGCGTATCGGTCTTGTTGGACGCCTTCGGACGCAGTGCAAAGACGACCCGACGTCAACTGTTCCTCCAACTATCCCCCTGCTGCAAAGCCCATGATGACGACCGTCGCCGTCACCGATGATCATATTGTCGCTGCCCCCCACCCCTCCCTCCCCATCAGACTGATATCATCCGCCATGTCCCAACCCCTGCGTCGACGACAGCGACCAACTCCGCCAACACCACAACATCTTGCACTCCCTCCCCTATGACGTCCGACGTTCCATTACCTGCTACCATCGCCACCAGCACCCCCAACTGCAACGATGTGGACTGCGTCCCAACCTGTCCTCATTGCGGTCGCACATCCACCTTACACATCGGCCTGATCGATCAGTTGCAATTCCATTTCACAGAAACTGGCGAGCCAGCGTTTGGAGCACCTACATATGCGCGCCGCATCCACCTCAACTGCCTTCACTGTCTCCGCACATTCATTCACCGCATGGGCCCACTCAGTCACATGCACATACACGACAGTGGAAATCGACGCAATATTGGCACACCTAGCACACCCTGCACTACCACAGTGCCTAGCCCAATCATTACCCCCCCCCCTCTGGTCCAGCGCACCCACCGGCAGCGGCTCCACCCCCACCACCACCACGAATGCCAACTCTGACGCTCCCGACCTATCCTGCCCACAGTGTCCCCGTACACAAACCTCACACATCGGCCTGGTCGTTCACCTGCGAATCCATCCCACGGAGACTGGCTAACCAGTGCTTGGAACGTCAACACACACCAGACGCATTCGCCCTAGTTGCCCATACTACCCCCGCACATTCAGCCACCGCATGGGCCTATTAGGCCACACGAGCATTCGTGAAAGTCTGCAGTAGACAATCGCTGGCTACACCACACCATCATACCTTTACCCATCAGCACCTGCAACACACATCGACATCACCCATCACACCGCACAAACACTACCGACACCTCTCACGAAAATTAGAAGTGTGCTCCTCGGCTCCTTCTCCAGGAGGCTCCTCTGCTGCATGTGTGATCCGATCCTGCGAAAATCACCGTGTACCAAGCGTCGTGGCTTAGATGGTTGCCGCCTGACGTCTTAACTCAGACCACACAGTCTGCCCACTTGTGTGCTTTTCTGTGGAATGTGCTCTCCAAACGGACCACGCGGTAGATATGCTGGACCAACCTGGGGACCGCACTGGATTCTGGCAGGAGTAATCCGAATGTGCATCATAAAAAATTCCAAAGCTCGGGGAGTGATGGCAGGCCCAGTGGCCGGCTCACGTCGCGCAAATTGGGATCCCTGCCGCCTCCCACTTTTTTGTTGGTTAAGATCCTGGTCAAGTGTTGTGTGGACCAGGGGGTGTGGTGTGGAACGCCAAGGCGCCGACTCGGCCGCACCATCCACCTGTGCCTCCTCTCGCCTCCGGTCTTCTTGACCCTGTCTTGATGCCTGGCCCAGGTTTGGGAGAAGGGGGAGAGAGTGTAGTAGATGCAGCGGAAGTCCACCATCAATATAACCGGCGTCACGCACAAGTCACTGTGCCTGTTTTACCTTGCAGTAAAACACACGATGGACATCGTCGGGCACGACAGTCGAACTGTCATTTGTGTGGAGTAGCGGACAGGTGGGCTGATAGTCAGGCTACAGAGTGACCTTTGGCACTCTCGCACGTGTAAGGTATGTGTGGGTTTTACGGTTTGTGCCTCTCAGTCTACGACTGACTGCTTACCAGGACTTTGAACGGTGGTGGCCCCGGCTAAACACAGAGCTGCGCCTCACCCTTCTGGGCTTTAAAGATAGTATGCATCTGCTATGCCACAACTCAGCAATCCATGGGCCTTGTGGCCTGGTGTGTGCTGGCAGTTCTATGGCGCCTGATTTCCTGCTGGCGGACGCGTTTGCGCTACCGTTGGGTATACAGGCCGTGTGCATAGGTGCCTAGTGACTTGTGTCATTCCCCTATTCCTGACCCACTTTTGTTGTTGGTTAAAATCCTGGTCAAGTGTCTGTTGTGGACCAGGTAATGTGGTGGCACACCTAGGTGCGGGTTCTGCCTTGCCAGTAACCTGCGCCTTCTCCTGCCTTCGATCTTCTCGACTATGTCTTGACACCGGTCTCAGGCAGGAGGAGAGTGTGACATATGCTGCGCAAGTCCACCATCACTATAAAGTAATTCAGGCACGTCACCGTACCCGCTCTCACCTTGTTGTGGAGCACACGGTGGACATCGTCGACAACGACGGCCGAACTGTCCTATTTTCGAGATATTGTAGTTTGGATGTAGATACAGCCAAAAAACTCAGCAGTCCGTATAGACGAAGTGAACGCGAGCCGTCGAGGATACGACGGGCACCTAGGTGGCACTATATTGACAACCCGATAAGGGGCGAAATTTTTAATTCCTAAGTTGCATTGCTGAGAATCGGGACAATTGCACTTTTCCGTCATCAGTTGAAAGCGGTTGACGACCATGCATTACTAGGCGATCGATGCTTGAATGGGATACGAAAGCAATTCCGGACAGCCAGAAGGAAGGCCAGAGGAGAAGACTATATGTTGTAGTATAGTGAAAACGAAACGTAAAAATATGCGCACCCCTTAGAGGGAGCGAAAGTACGCCTATTGCAAAGTTGGAATTGAGGGTACGTACTAGAGATAGAAATTCGAACTCTACGCTATGCGGTGTTTGTCAATGGTATGTTATGGAATCTGAAAAGGGATCCAGGAGCAACCAAAGGGACGAAAGGTCTGACCTATTTGCCTAGGCTGGTTCGAAGGAATTGTCAGACTGTTGTATACTGAATGGCAGTGAGGTTGGGCTAAAGACATCAGTTGATTGCTTCTAAAAATTAAGCCAAATTTGGCTGCACCTAACATTTGGAATAGAAAGGTCGTAGTAACATTAAAACGTAAACCAAAACAGCCTGAAGTTAGGTACTAGTCTTCGCATGCACATGGTAGGTGCTACATTAATATAGTTCGGTAGCTGAGGTCGAAAAGTTGCTTTTAAGAGTCCGAATACGAAGCTAGATGCCAGTGGAATGACATTAACGTAATACTATAACAGTGCAGATAAAGTATGTGGAGCGTGGTATTTTGGGACGACAGTGGGTTTCCGAAAATAAGAGCGAGGGAACATTCTAACTGGTTTTACACTTTCGTCCCGCTATATTACCACGCAAAGTTGGCAGTTTTCTGAAACTTACGCGCAATACGTAGTTTCAGTGGAGGCTCATGGGTAGAGTAAAGTAGTTGTATGCGGCGTTCTATTCAATCAAGTGCGCGTTTTGCATTCGATGCCATTAGCCTCACAACTTTCGTAACATTTCCGAAACATAAATCATGGCGTATAGGTAAGAAGCCCTTTATACTAAAGCATGAGCTATTTTGAGTACCGTTAACTCCGTTGTTCTTGCGTACATGGGACAAATTAAAAGAGAACTACCCAACGGACCAACATCCACAACTAGCCCACTTGTTCAGTTCCAGTGGATAAGGGTGGGAGAAGAAGAGCTGCTTGAACAGCTGAGTTAATGTTTCCACGTCTGCTCTCGTAAACCTCCTGCTTGTTCTAGTCGCGTTCAGAGTTTACGTTAGACTTCTGGCAAGTGGCAAATTTTAGTGATAAGTGGCAGTCTGGTTTGGATGCTAGGCCAAATGCATCAAGGGAAAACGCGATAAAAAGCAGACGCAAAAAGACGTTCTGGAACGGATGGTAAAAAGATGCAGGTTAATCAAAAACATCGGTAGGCAAACTCTGAAGAGCACTGCATCTAGTGCACTGATCTATAAAGTAGTTTGTATCCAATGCCGTAGACATGAAAACTCACAGTATTGAAGGGGATTGCAAAGGGACCAAGCAGCTATGTCCATAGTGAACAAGCAGGTCAACACCAAGGGCTTTGGCTGAAAAATCGTCTACGCAACAGGCCCCGTAGGAGACATCACCCAGAATGACAATGTCAATGTCGTCCAATTCATGTCCGTCACTGCGTTTGTCACCAGCGTTAGTCTCACTATTTTCGGGACCAAAACGTTTGAAAATTTCGCTTAATACTGTGGCGAACCGAAGAAGGCCCTCAGGCATTTGAAGGGCAATACACTTCGCTTTAAGGCACCGGATTCTCCATATAGTTTTGTGGACTTCGAAATTGTAATTATTCGGAAGATATTTGTCAATAACTTCTGATAACACGGGATCCTGAAGTAAACTGTCCGGAATACGAAAAGGATTGAACCTCTTCGGCGGCATCGTGCCGCTGTAACCCTTTGGGCTTCAACCGTATACGCTTCAAGTGTAGCGGCCAAGGACGTCAAGGGTAGCACACACCAAGGTACTTGGAACAGATCCTGGCTGAGATCGATCTGAATAGAGCTGTTAGAATATCGCGATACCCATCCATACGTAGTGGAAGAAGGCAAATCAAGTATGGGATAAAGTATAATAGAATGAGATGGTCACGGGAAATACCTATAATAGTAGCTGAATGTACTTGTGGAATGAGAAACAGTAATGAAATAACCTGTCTGGATGGAGAGACGAATCTGATATGCCAGCCAAACAATCGGTGGGGAATGCAGCGCTGTGGGCAACTGCAGGAGAGGGCCGAGGGAGGTGCCGACGTAGAGAAAATGAGATAGCGACGAGAACGTAACGGTAAGTTGCGGGAGGGGGATCGACGGTAGTAAGAGGAAGGGACACCGACCTTCTTCATTAACAGGCAGTCACACCATCCCTATACCAGGTCCGCGCCCAAAAAAAGTCTCTTCACCCAAATAACTGTATATCAGTCGTGGGCCGTTACACAAAGGTTTAAATAAGCCAATCAACCAGACAAAATGTACTGGGCATGTTCGGAGTCAGGGGCTTCCACAGTATTTGGTGGGCTTTCCGTTAGAATCCGAACAACGTTTAAGCTTAATCTAAACGCACAGAGGCCTACTGAAGTTCTCCGAAAAATCTGTAAGACAGGACAGTTAGTAGCGGCAAACTTTAGAGTAACCAAAAAGTTATAACAGGATTTGAAGCGGAAAGATACTTGACAAAATAGCGGAGATTTGAGCGTGGAAACATATCAAATCTGACAAAAAATGGAGAAATGACGAGCAGCGGGGTCATATGGGGTAATCGAAAATCAATAATATGCGGAAAGCGGACGAGTATGCGCCTGATATACAGTAACGTCCTACGAATTGTTAGAGTTGTTTGTGTGAAGTGGCACTTCTTGCGTGGAACTAGGATGGTTTTGGTGTAACTGCGTGTCGGTGAAAATGGACGGTGTCGCCCTCTCTTTATCGCCGACCCCTCATCGCAACTCGCCGTAACGTTCACTCCTCTCTCTTCTTCTACGTCTGCGCCTCTCTTGGCCCTCCCCTACAGTTGCCCACAGCGTTGCACTTCCCACCAGTGATTAAGCGGGCATGTCACTGTCGACTCAGCACCCAGACAGGTCACTCCCCATATGTAACGCATCGCGTTTGTACAATTAACCACTAGTATATGTATCGTCAGTTTCCACCTCTTCTTATTATACCTTTATACCCACCTAAAATTTCTCCTTTCCTTTCGTGCAAATGAGTATTATGATGCGTTAACGATTCTATTCAGATCGGTCTTAGCCAGGATCTATTTCCTTAGCTTCGCTACCTCGGTGTTTGCTATCTTCGACGTCCTCGGCCGCTACAATACAAAAAGATCTCAAGGGCCTGCTCCTTCTACGCACCTGCGCAGAACACCGGTTCATCCTGCCGGAACGAGAGAAGGCCACTTGGATGCACCCTCGATCGCGTCAGTGGCACTTGCTGGACTATGTTCTGTCCGGAGGCAAGACAGGCGAGGCGTGCTGGTGACAAAGGTAATCGTGGATGTTGAAGGGTGGACCGACCGTCGCCTCGTCATCTCGAAGATGCATATTCGCCTACAGCCTCGCAGGAGACCACAAGGTAAGCGACCCCCAGGTAAGCTGAATATTGCCTTTCTGTCTTCGCCTGCTCAGCATAGATATTTCAGCAATGAGCTAGCTCAACGGCTAGAAAATTTACAGTCGCTGTCGCCGCCGCTGCCGAGAACGCCTCCGTGGAGAACCGATGGTATCAACTGCGGGACACCGTCCAGTCAACGGCGCTAGTCGTCCTCGGTCGCGCACGCCGCATACACCAAGACTAGTTCGAAGACAACGCCGCCATCATCAGTAGAAAAGAAGCGCCTGCACAAAGCCTACGTCGACTGCCCCACCGACGACAACAGTGCTGCTTTCTACCGTTGTAGTCGTCTCGTTCAACAGCGACCGCACGAGATGCAGAACGCCTGGACGGCACGCGAGGCAGAGGAGATTTAACGGTACGCGAACCGCCACGAATTAAAGAACTTCTTCTCCGCTATCAAAGTTTTCTGCGGTTCGCCAACCAAAGTCACTGCTCCTCGTCTCAGCGCCGACGGCAGCACCCTCCTCACTGAGGAGGCAGAAATTCTACAGCGATGGGCCGGACACTTCAGAGGCGTCCTCAACCGTCCCTCCACCATCTCCGACGCCGCCATCGCTCGTCGACTTCGACCTCCCGTCCTGTCTCCAAAAAACAATTAGGGACGTGCAGCAGCTCCCGAACGGGAAAGCACCCGGATCAGACGCGATCCCTGCTGATGTCTACGAGCACGGCGGTCCCCAACTAATGGATCATCTGACGGCCCTTTTCCAGGAGATGAGACATCAAGGAGAAGTGCATCAGGATTTTAAAGACGCCAAAATCGTCCAGCTATACAAATGGAAGGGAGACCGTCAACTCTGCGACAATCATCGAGGCATCTCCTTGCTGGATATCGCCAGAAAAGTCTTTGCTCGCATCCTCCTCCAACGCCTGAATAATCACCTAGAACAGGGTCTTCTGGCGGAAAGCCAGTGCGCCTTCCGCCATCATCGTGGAACCACGGACATTATCTTCGCCGCTTGTCAACTTCAGGAAAAGTGCCAGGGGATGCGGACTCACCTGAACTCTACCTTCGTGGATCTGACGAAAACCTTCGACACGGTGAATAGTGAAGGACTGTTGGAGATCATGCAGAAATTCGGCTGTCCCGAGCGATTCTTTCAGATGGTGAAGATGGTTCGCAAAACCAAATAGGGTCAAGTAAAATAATTTAGTGGAGGACGACCTGAGCTTATTTACAGCAGCCCTAAAATTGTGGACCCAGGCTTTGATTATATGCTAGGGTGGATACAAAGACGCCTGGATTTACACAAACAGCTTAGTCAACAGCCACTCTAATAGCCTGCCTCCAAATTGGTTTTACGAATTTTACTCGCAGGAGGCAGCGATTGCGTGAGACCATTTGGGGCCGCCAATTACATCCGCAGTCAACGAGGGGATAGAAGCAACACTAGTTACACTGAAATACGAATCCGTTGTAGCCCCAAAATCGGTCAATGACGCTCATGTATATGGAGCTGTGGGCATGCATTTTCAGTGTCTGAAGAATGGCGGACAAATTCACTTCACGAAACGCCAGACCTGAATCTGCCCACCGCTGATCGGAGTCCCCTCTTGACACGCCACCCAGGAACTGCATTTCCCCTGTTATTAACATTATTGACCACATCAGTGACAATAGCATTACCTACGTTTTACCGCAGATCTTTTTCCAGGGCAGCCAATAACCAGTGAAAATGGTCCAGAAGTCTTTTAATGCCCCGCGAAGAACTATATCTTGGCCTGTATTTTTCTACTGATTTGTACCATCTGCAATCACTCAATAAACCGCCGTTTCTAACCATTGTCTGTCCACTTTCCTATGTCGTGTGATTAAGTGAACGCTACGTTGGTTGTCCGGTTGTGAACTAACGTGGGGTGTTTATCGCTGATCTGCTTCATCCTGTGCTAGGAGGATAGATGCGATATCACTTTAACGGACATTGCATCGTGTCAAAAAATCCCACAAGTAGGAACTTTATTTAAATCTAGATTTGTCCCTCCCCTGTGTACAGTTCAAGGAGAAGCCACTTTCTATCAAATGAGTGCAAAACAAATGTTTTTTTCTATGTTTTCCGTGAAATGCATTCGAATTTATTATGGGTTACCAATAAATAGAAAAAATGCATGCTACTTAGACAGTCGCTTTTTTACAGAATACGACTTTTGTGAACGCCCAGAAAGTGTATCAGAAAGCCAACATCCTGACATGTCAGACATATCATGGGATTATGCCGTAAGGTAATCAACATTACAATTCCACACAAGTAATCCTTTCCAATCGAAAACGCATTTCAAAGAGTCGGTTAACATTTGATGAGGTAGACAAATTGAAGCTAAAGCATGCCAAACTCGAATTGCGGGCCAAACTCTTCTCCCACCGACTGGTTGAAGGATGGAACAAATTACCGAACTCCGTTGTCTTAGCGGAAAACGGTGAGACCTTCAAAAGAAGACTAGATAAATTTATGCTTGATGGTCAAACATATATACGATATCAATGACTGGCATAACTGTCTTGTAAATATCTGCATGTTTTTTCTCAAATGTCTATCTGTAAATAGGGTTTTCTAAGGCTCTGTCTCTAGCCCTCATATATACTAAAATTATACTGAAGTCCCATGTGCACGCACGCACGCTGCGCGGGAGCTACCAACACCAACGACTGACATATGGCTAGCTGAAACAATTGCTGCCGCTGCCTGCTGGGCCATCTGCGCGCTGTCTAACTGCAACAAAGGTTGTTGTATCAATGCCATTGCACTTAATTTCCATTTGGGATCTTTCATTGTCGGCTATCGGAGTTCGACAAGCACTGACGCTTGCGCACGAGTAACGCTCTCAGCAGAAATGGGCAGACTCTTATTCCGGGGCCCAGTGGTGTCACAGATCCGCAGATCCCACATCTTTCCTCGTCCCAACCCAGCACAACCTTTCTCCAGCTGGCTTTCCATCACCTTGTGCACCGAAACACGTCGCTGTTTCTAATCACCCCACTCTTCAGTATACAGGCAAAACCAACAGCTGAAAAGGTTCAGCCCAAAGTTCACTGGAGCCAATCTCCCAGTGAGCTCTAGTTCTCGTCGCATTTCTGTGTCCCCGAAAACCGGATAGGGAAAAGCTCTTTTGTGGATACTGAAACCCAGTTTACTATAATATACCCATCCTACAGTAAGCGACCGTCGGTGTCCCAATCCTGACCTATTTCTTCAGATCGTCCATATCCTCCAATCGCCACCTTCGGTTGCCCCTCCATATCTCCAGGCAATGGCCTGCGTTCCTTCGTCTGGGTCTTCATCATTGCTGAAGCTCCCTTCTCCTTTCTTGGGGCAGACTTCCTTGTCACTTTCGGTCCTCTGATTGACTGTCGGTAGTCCCATCGACACAACTGGGCCACTAGTTTTAAAACCCGGGGTATCCCACCTACCATGGCGTTTCGTCAACTTCTAGTCCTGGACCCCAATCAGGATAGTCCATCTCAGAAGCTCCTCGTCAAATACCCCAAACTCACCCGTCTTAACTTCAACAATTATACTCCATCGCATAATGCTATTCATCACATTCGTACCATTGACCCTCCATCATTTCTCGGCACCGCCGTCTCGCGCCTGAGGGCCTGGCTGCCGCCAAGGCCGAGTTCGAATGTATGCTTCGGATGGACATCATCAGTCAGCCTGGGAGCCAAATAGTCTTGTCCCTGCATAGAACTCCAAAGGCCACCACGAATGACTGGCTCTTGTGTGGAGATTACGCAGTCTTGAAATATGTCACTACCGCTGGTCACCACCCCGTCCTGCATTTCCAGGACATCGCCGATGTCCTATTCTGCAAGTGTGCCGTGTTCTGGCATTCTACTAGATCTCAATCGCTCCCCAAGACGTTTCGAAGTCGACCGTCACCATCTCCTTCGGAAAACTTGAGTTCCTTTGCATACCGTTTGGACCACAAAATGTCTCGCAACAATTCCTGACGATCGTAGAGAGAATGCATTGTGGTTTACTCCTTGTTTACGCCTATATTGTCTACGTCTTAGTCCGCAGTTCTACCGCCGAAAAACACAAGGCATCTTGGTACAACGTTTGACCGCCTTCAACGATTTAGCGTTTTATCCAGCCTGTCAAAGATTTTCTTCGGTGTTCCCGCAACCGAGTTTCTCGGACACTTGGTCAACTTACCTGGCATCCGCCCTCTACCTCCGAGGGTCGCGTACATCCGTAAATTCTCCCCACTTTTTCTCCCAAACAGCAACTGCAACGCATTCTTGATGTGGTGAGCTTTTGTCGCTGGTTCTTCCCGAATAGCGCTTGTATCATTCCGCCTTTTGCAGACCTACTCTAGGGTTCAAACGGTTCGTTAGTGCTCTCAGCAGATCTTATCAATATTTGACAAGGTGAAGGCTGCCACGGCTGGTGCCACCCTCTTCGCCCGCTCTGCTCTCGACACACTCATTTTCTTGGTGCTCGTAGCCTTAAATATCACAGTCGGCGCGGTTCTTCAACAGTACCCTGCAGGTCGAACTCAACAACAAACCCTCTTTTCCAGGCAGTTATCACCTGCCAAGTCACGCTGAAGCACAGGCGGACGAGAGCTTCTGATCTCCTACTCAGCCGTGAGACATTTTCGGAGGTTTCTGAGGGACGACGACTTTACCTTATCCACAGACCATTAAGCCCTTTCCTGCGCTTTCCACTTAAGCTCAGTTTATTAAGGGAAAAGTAAGTGAACGCCTTTGAACTCCCGATTAGTTACAATAACGTCAAAAACCATATGTAAGGCCTGCTGGAAAGAAGGGTAGGTAATTAATTACATGCAGCATGCATGTGGTACTTGCATGAATGTGTCAGTGTGTGCATAGTGTGTCAAAATTGCGAAATAATCACTACGCGGCACTGAAGTGGACCAATTAATGTGGAATCGAACGCTTATCCTTCTGTCAGGATTCATTGGCTCGCATGTGAACTTCCGACGGAGGCATTCAACGAAAAGTTATTGTATAATGTTACTAAAATACAGGGAATAATATACATTGTAACATATAACTCTCGGAGCAGTACAAGGGAAAATCTGTCAGCTTCTGTCGACGCGGTGGTACGTATCCCTGCAGTGGTCAAGCTTCCTCTTAAACGTGTCCACGGATGAGGACATGACGACGTCCACAGGCAGAGAATTCCATGTCTTAATCACCCTGTGGCTGAGGAGGAATTCCCTTGCGTCCACTCCTGCCCCAGTCACACGTAGTTTGAGCGGATGTCTTCCCAAGCTAGTAGTGGTGGCCGACTCAAAAAAGTCGCCGGATGCGAGGCAACAATCCCGACCCCGCAGTATGCGAAACGTTTGAATAAGTCACCACGCAACTGTCTGTAGTCCAGGGGAAAGAGATCAAGATTGGACAGTCGAGTTTCGTAAGGTAGGCTTTTTGATCTCTGACAAGCTTGACTGTCCGTCGTTAGACTTTTTCGAGAGTGGTACGGTCTTTAACAGACCAGGGTCTCCAGGTCTGAATGTCAAATTCCAACTGTGGCCGCGCAAACATCCAGAAGACCTTGCTAAAACACTTTTCGTCGAACATCGCAAATGTCCGCTTGATCAGATATGAGCTGGACATTGCGGATTTCGCTACTTTCAAGCAGTGGACTTATGGCTTTAGTAAGGATGTTATACACACACCTAGATCCTTCTGAACCTCTACCTCTGGAAGCGGTTCGTGATGTAGAGAGTACTTTCTCCGGTGCGTAGAGCTGGCTCTATCAATTCGCATAATGTTGCATTTGGCAACATTGAACGGAAGGAGCCAGTGACTTGACCATCGCTTGAGTCTGTTCAAGTTTGCCTGTAGATTTGCTTCATCGTGCTCGTTGCGGATGACGTTCCAAAGCTTTGTGTCGTCAGCAAACATGGCAATGTCGCAGTCCAACCAATGGATGCAGTCATCGATATATATGAGGAAGAGGATACAGCCAAGAACGGAGCCCTGAGGTACTCCGTTCGTATCCATCACCTCTGTCGATTGCTGGTCACCAAGACTGACAATCTGAGATCGACCGATCAAAAAGTTTTCAATCCACTTCGAAAGCTTGCCCCTTACCCTTATGCGACTGAGCTTGTAAAGGAGACGTTGGTGTAGCACACTGTCGAGGGCCTTCTTGAAGTCTATA